ACGTGCCTTTTTCAGAGCCTTATATCTATGATTCATAGTCATTCTAATTTCTTTTGTTATCCAGGGCAGGCTGTTACTGCGCACTTTTATTTGTTTGAATGGCACGTGTTCGTTGCACAATTCTGTAAAGAGCAGGTTCCATGAATAATTAATATCAGTGGGATCGTCTAATACTTCGCAAACTTGAAAGGGCGCACGGGCAATGTCGCTTTGAAAATTTCTTTCGCTGAATTTTTTGAGGTTCCTGATGGTAATTATTTTAGGCGGGTCTCTTGGGATGTTAGCTGATAAGGTTGCATAAATCATGTCATGATCTGAGATACCCAGGGGACATAAACCCTTTTGTTTGACCAAATCTTTCCAATTCATGACGATAAGGTCAATCAATGTTTTAGAGTGGTTAGTAATTCTTGTTGGCCCTTCTATCACGTTCTTCAGATTAAACTGAGCGAGTATCCCTTCCATCTTCTTTCCTTCATACGATGTGTCTCCGCGTTCGTTCTGAAGTAGATTGGTATTAAAATCTCCAAGAAGTACCATATTTGAAAATTTTAACCAGACGTTTTCAAGCAGGTTTGGAAAGACTGTGAAAAATTCACTAGTTTGATTCGGTGGCCGGTATATAATTCCTACCATGGTATCTCTTGAGCCAGCCTTAACTTGCATAAATATCCCTTCGACTTTATCATCTTCCAAGTCCGGTCAATGAGTAACTTCTAACGACTTGGGATGATACACCGCGCAACCACCGCCTTGTCTTCCTTGTCTGTCTCTTTGAACGAGACTATAATCTTCGATATTTATTTCTCCATCGGCGATTTCTTGTCAAATGCGTTTCCATTACTCCGAATACATCAAACCGGCATAGTTTTAAAAGGATTCGTAATTCATCCACTTTTCCCCTTAAGCCGCGGACGTTTAAGTGTGCTATTTTAAGATGTTTTGCGTTGGTAACAAGTTTGTGAACTAACTCCTGTAGGTATTCATCGTTGTCATCCTCGATTTGACTTCTGCATTGAATCTCTTGTAGAAATTCTGTGTCGTCGATTCTGTTAAATGGCAGTGACCCTAACGCACTTTTCCATAAGCAGGAGGAACATTCCCAGTAGTAATTTTCCCTTGCCAAAAGCTCACGGCACAGGGTGGGTGTAATTAAACTACACCTAATGTGGGATTGTAATTTACACGTCGAGCAGTCGAGGGCTCGGTGAGTTCTTGCTACCGATTTGCCACATACTGANTAGGGAAACTCATCAGGCCCCGAGGCGGTTCGTTTCAGGTGCGATAATAAGTTTCGTACATCACATTCGTTCACAGTCGGCAAACGGGTTCCTGCTGGTATGTGCAGACGCGTTGGAGCCTCATATTCATCGTCAGTGTTGATGGTCTGGAAATATGTGTTGATGATATCAGGTGAAATCACCGAGCTAACAAGGGTGCCTTATGTCTTTCTGCCAGTTATTCTATTGGCTGTGTCCCACCATCCTTTAGAGCCACGGTTATGTTTTAATCGCTCGTTGTCCTCAGCGTTTACTTGGTGCGTGCGAATGAGTGCGTTGATTTTCTCTTGACGAATAATTTTCTCTACTTGGTTACCCCGATGTGCTGTTTTGTTTCTGACTTTGCACAGCTGCTTTACCAGGTGGGACATGTAAAGCGGGTCCCTGGACGATACTCTAGCCCGGACGAATGGAAAACTCTCATTGAACATCGACCATAGGCTTGTATTAAGTAGTTTCACGCTTTTTTCAGGATTATCTAGGTTGTTGATAGAATTTCAATCGAAAGCACTAAGCTTAGTCTCCATAGCAATTTTGCGGTGGTCTCTTGTTTCGCGGAAACTGACATATTTCCGTTGAGGTTTAGCCGGGATAGAGGGTAGTACAGTGACAGCCAAATGATCAGATGTCACCAGACCCTTATGCACCTTACCGGGTTTCCAAAGCAGTGGACAGTTAGTCAGAAAAACATTAAGTATTTTTTCCCGCCTAGTAGGAACTTTAACCATTTGATGCAGACCATGTTGTTGCGTAAGATCTTTTATTTCCAACTGATTTATGTCACCTGCAATTACGATCTTGGCGTTCGGATCATCGTGCAGGATTTGATCAGAGGTTTCAGAGGGGAAATTCAGTAGATCAGCTGGTTCGTAGATGGGGTCAGGCGGATGGTAAACACTGGCAGCGAAAAACTCGGAATTTGGAGTTCTTATTTTGCACCAAACAGTCTCGAACTCAAACTGTCCATTGGCGTTGATTACTTTTATTTTCCAGTCCTTCCTACAGATGAAAGCAACCCCTCCACCTGCAGGTATTCCATTCCGGTCTTTTCTAACCATCACATAGCCATCAGGGCAGATCAAGTGGGACAAGATTTTCTTGTTTAGCCAAGATTCCGAAACAAAACAAAGGTCAATATTATTGCTGCTAAGTTCAGCATACAAGGTTGGAGCAGCATCAGCTTTCACTAGAGAGCGAGCATTTATAACCATACATTTTGGAACAACTTTAGGAGCGGTAGGAGTCCTTTCAATTTTCACTGAAATAAGCGATCGGGATAAGTTTGTCGATTGATTACGCATTGTCGTGTAACGCTTGTTGACGTTGCGTGACG